CCCACATGGCAAGGAGTTGGGACACCTAGGATGTCAACCAAGGAGAACTCAAAGCAACAGGACTGGAATGTTATCAGACTTTAGTTGGAGAAAGATGCACAAACTGAAAAGTGTAGACTAGAATATAGTAAATGGAATCTAAAATGGTGAGAAGCTGATGTGGTTCCCTTAGCAAGCTCTATCTGAGAGAGAGAGAGAGAGAGAGAGACAGACAGACAGACAGACAGACAGACAGACAGAGATGTCGGGGTGGCCTAAACTTTGTAAGCATTGACATTGTGGAGCCAATATCCCTTGTTTTGTACCTCTAATAAATGGTCACTCCCTAACCTCCCACTGCTCACCCCTTTACCACCAATGGTGTATTTTTTATTGTAAATTAAAGAATCAGCATCTGGTTTGTCTATATCAGTCTCTGTGGCTGTGGTTAGCATACATAGTCCTCAAGAGGAGAGGCCCTTCATCAGTATTGGACAAATCAGGTTCTATGTCTGGAAGGCTGAAACAAGACCTTAGATCCCTCTGAATTCCCATAGGAGAAACACTACCTTGAAAGGCCCCCTGACAGCCAACCAGCAGCTCTCCTAGCAGTTCCTAGTGTACCACACTGGAACCAAGCAGTGTGTCCTTCTGAACTGACATTATCAAAGAGTATATAACTACAAGGAAATATTGATACATTTCAGTTCTAGACTAAAAGGAGATTATCAGAATATAGTGATGATGGGGAGTAGAGAGGGAAGAAAAAGAAGCAAAAGAACTGACATTCACTGGGCCTTGTTTTGGCCAAGTCCTATGTACTTATCATACACAGAGAATGACCAGGGAACTACAGGCTTGGGGAGGTAAGTCAATTGACCAGAGTTACCTAACTAGTGGCTCTCAGGGATGGTATTCAAGCCTAGGCCTGTCTAGTTCATGAGAAATAATAATAAGGGGACATAATTAATATAAATAATAGATAGAAAAGACCCTCATAATAAGACTTAGAAGTCTGAATGCACAGTTGCCAAGAGACTGCTCTCTCAAGTTCTTTTTACAACATTCAGTAGATGCAAGCTGTTTGGACTCACTTTTCAGTTCTGCATGAAGGCAAAGAAGTGATAAGGGATATGAGAAACTCTGGGATAGAGGCAGGCTGTGGAGTCTACCTCCATCCCTGCCCCTGTCCCACAGGAAGTGTTTGCACAACTAGAATATAGGAATGCTTGGAGAGGTGATTCGTATGAAGCCAGCATTTATATGAATTGCTCTTTCCCTGGTGAAATCTTGCCCTTCTTGGACTTTGTAAACAGATTAAATTCCAAATTCAAATTGCTATACTGCAGCTTATTAAATATTCACTTTTTATAAGTAAATAGCTGCATTATTCACAGCAGGGCAGATTCACTATTTAATTTGTTTTTCCAAAGAGTTCTGGCTACAGTGTGTCACCAGCGCCTTCCTCCTGGGTCAGGAGGTGAGATGAAATGAGTCTTTTTTGGTACAAATCCTAAGAACAGAAGATTAACCCGAACTATAAGCCAGCTTTGGGTCCTGCCAGACCCAGGCTGCGCCCACACCAGACCTCCGACTTGCCTCATTCTTGGCCTCTCACAGAGGCTTGTCCCTCATCAGTGTTTCTCAAAGTATGGCACCTGGCAACTTGGGGTAGAATCTCCTGGGATGATTTTTTAAAAAATGCGTTGGCATCAAAAATTTGAACCTCAGGGTTTAGAGTTAGGCTCTAACCAAGGTAGTGCCTAATAAGAAAGCCGTCGTAAACCTCATCCTAGACTCAATCAAGAGTTCAGATTTTGTCTTATAAACTCTGGGGAGACACCAAAGGGGTTAAAGGACAGAAAGGACACAATCACGATTTTGCATTTTGGAAGAGTCGTCTAACTGAGATGGGAATAGACTGCTAGACAAAGGAGACCAGGTGTGGCAGTGGTCCAGGTGAGACAGGACACTGACCCAAGGTAAAGCAGTGGCCACGATGCATTGGAGAGACAATTAAGAAAAGGAATCAGCAGGGCTTAGAGACTCATTGGAGGGAGGGTGGGAAGGTCAGCAGGCGACAGAGAGGAAGAAATTAAAGATGAGCTTCCTGTTTGGGGTGAGACGCGCTAACATGAACACTACATGTTACTGTAGAATTCAGAGTATAACCCCCCTGTTCTGAAACCCAATTTTTTCCAAATATACTCCACTTCCTTAATTTGTATAAAATCAATTAAGTAATATTTTGTTTGTTTTATTCTACAATTAACAAATGGACTTTCTTAGATTTTTTTTTTTTTTTTTTGCTGGAGGCCTTGATAATATAAACTGAATTAAAACAATGTGTCTAGGTTCCTAGTGAAGTTACTTCTCTTTAGGTTCTCTGAAAAGTAGGGCAGTGAGCCAAAGCCTCAGCTTTCATTCTGTAGGACTGAAAACACTTGTCTCCTAACCTCAAACTTGGAAGTAAGCACTGTCTTTTTTAATCACTGGCAGATCATCTCCTCCTTTTCCTCTCTGTCTCACTCCCTCTACCCTAGATTTCCCTGAGATGCTTTATTTAAAGATTGTTAGTCCACAGATGGGGGAGATTTAGCTGGAACTGGAGGAATTTCCAGGGGACAGAATGTAGCAATAGTTGTGGGACAAGAGGTAAAAATCTGATCTCTTTATTTTTCAGTTTTATTTTTTATAGTTACAGCATTCTTTTCCTAATTATAAAATAATTAAAATTTATTATGATTATTAGAAATTCAAACAATCCAGGAAACTAAGATACAGAAAGAGAAAATACTCTGCTATCACAGCCTGAGAAATATCTCTGTTAACAGTTTGGTGTATACTAGTCCAGACTCCTATACTAATGGAGGATTAAGGTCAGAAATTAGTCAGGCACTGAGCAGGGGTCTGGGCCCCAGGCAGAGAACAAGCCTGTGTTTCTATGCAATGCAGGACACATGAGAGAAGCTGGAGCTTCCCTATGGTGCCAGGACCTGGAGCATGAGGTGGGTGTAGCAAGATGTGAACAGCAGAGGCTGGCAGGGATCTTTTGGAGTGCGTGCGTGCGTGCCTGTACACCTTTTAAACAAATTGGGTCATACTATGCATTTTTTCCTACGACTTGTCTTTCCACATGGAAATCTTCCCATGTCTGTACATTTAGATATAATTCATCCCTTTAAAATTAGCTATATGGTACTCTCTTATTTGGGTGGACAAAGAGGTTATGCAAAATTTTAAATATGTATAACCATTGACCTAGCAATATCAATCCTAGAAATCAAGCCTTAAAACATTCTTCTTTGGGTATTTACTTAATAATGTTCATGTCCTCTTAATAGCAAAAATTGGAAACTACTCACATTAGTAGTGGATTGGTAAAACACACTTTGTCCACCCAAATAAGAGAGTACCATATAACTAATTAGCTAGTTCCTTATACCCTTACCAGTATAGGATGCTATTCATTTATTTGTTGCCAATCTCATGGCAAAAAGAAAATCTCATTTAAAATTTTATTTTGATTAATGTTGAAGTTGAACACCTTTTCATATCTTTCTTGCCTACAGGTATTTATTCTGCTAATTACCAGCTCATATCTTTTGTATCTGATTACTTTAGGTCAACCGCCTCTCTGGGCCAATAAAAATGTCACCATAGAGTTTTTTGGTTTGGGTTTTGTTTCGGTGGCACTAGGGCTTACTAGGCTGCACCTTAGTGTCGGCACCGGGGCTTGCCTGTGACGCTTCTGGTGTTTAAAGCCTGGACATTCTGCCAATCTGCCTTGAGCGGTGACACCAGGAAGCTGACAGCAGGAGGATGCTGCCCACGAGCTCATCCTGTGTCATCTTCATATGGCCAAGAGCCACGGCCAGACACAGCACCTTTATCTGGAACTCGACTGTGGCCTGTGCCTCATCAGCTCGGTCCACCGTGTTCACTGTGGGTCAGCAGGGAAGGGAACTTGCCAGCATTTCTCAGGCCAGGCCCAGGGTGCCTGGGATCTGTCTGGTCAGAGGCATCTGACTTCTTGGCCAGCTTCTTGACGAACCTCTTATCTTTGTTGAGTTTCTTCTGTGCCTCGATGTTCCTGTGGGTGACATCCACAGCCTCAGACTTGTCACAGTGCTGCTCGTCTCCAGGACACACATGGAGAACACGGGGCTGCAGTGGACTTAGTCCGGACAGTGCTGGAGAAGCATTTGTCCTTGTGAGGGTCACAGTTCTTCAAGCTGATCCTCAGCTCCACTGAAAAATACCCAGTGCTTGCTCTGGCTCCCGCACAGGACACCTTGCCCAGGGTGTCCCGAGAGGCTTTGCTGCTCTTGGTGCCTCGTGTTACTAGAGAGCTTTGTGCCTTCATTTAAAGTGTTTGCTGTGTTGGTAAAACAAAGCCAGTGACCTTCAGTATTTTGGAGTCATTTGTGCCTTTTGGGTTTTACTGCAATTGCAGAACACTAATCTTCTTTTATAACCAACCATGACCTTTTTCTGTTGGCCTCTATCACCTTGATCTATGGACTCCAAAACTCCTAATTTCCACCAGTCAATTTAATCTTTTTAAGAAGGACATTTTAAATGCTTCTCAGGATTGCTTTGGGCTTCACGCCTTCATTTTCTATTTATGGGTTTATGGTTTTCTGGGAAGGAGACCCATCTTTTCTTTTGAATATGGCCTGTCTTCCTATTTAGACTTCACAGTTCTTCATCAGCAACCAACCCTGATCTTGTGCCATTAGGAATCCAAATTTGTCCACGTCTGCTCCAACTAGCATTGGAGTGAAACTCACACCATATTTCCCCCCAGGGCTCTTTATACTTCATCTGTAGCTGGACAAGATGACAGAAATAAGTTCTCCTTTCTGGACAGTCAGGGCTGGGAAAGAAAAATAAGGTAACAAATTTTTTTTTTCATTATCCATTTTTATCAAAAATAGAGATTAGGGCAAAGTGACATAATAGGATGAACCACTAAACCATTTGATAAGGCATCCTTCAAAAGTGAGCACAGTGTACAGTTACATAGTTTCCCCACTAATCCTTGCTACCAACCTAAAGACTGAGTACAATATCCTTTCTATAACACACTGAACATGCATTTCAATTTAGTGTAGAAGATTTTCTAAAGGTACCTCTGTCTCTCTTCTGGCAGGAGGAGCATTTCATCAGAAAACCTACAAATGGGGTCCTGTGCCTATTGGAAGGTCCCATACCTGACCAACAGGCCCAGATCCTTGGACCAGCCAGGGACAGACCAACCTCACATGTGTCAACAGAGAATTCCTGGGAAAATTCTGCACTCAGGACAAACCCCACAGTACCCCTGGGGAGGGGCAGGATTGGAGAGAGGCTAAAAGAAATTGAACCTGAACTCTTCATCAGGAGTGTCCACAGTGGCCTTGGCTCTCCCTACAGGGCGAGGCCTGCAGACCCTTCGGCTCTTCTTTCTGGTGGTCTCATCTACAGGCTGTACCTGGGCTGAATGGGCAGCAGCCCTGAGAGCCCGCAGAGCCTCATGCCACTCAGCTTCCATCTGAGCCCTGTAGTCCCCAAACATGGAGCGCATCAGCTGCCTCTTCCGGGGCAGGGGGGTTCTTTTGCTGCGCAGAGTTCGGATCGCTCCAATAGCCTGCTCTTTCTGTTTCGGGGTGGGTTTCTGTGTCTTGAGGCCCAGCTCTAGCTGCTCCACGCACCAGACCAATTCCTGGGCCAGCTGTTTTGCCTGGGCCTCAGCGCTCAAGGGGGCTTCCTCTGGGGCGAGGTTTTCTGAGGACTTCTCGCCTCCATTCGCCACAGAGGCCCTGTTCCGGGTTTTCTTCTTATTCTTTTGCTTCTTCAAGGATGTGTCATCGCCTACGGGGTGCGCTCTGCAGGCGGCGTCACTGCACGTGGGTTGCCCTGGGCCTGGGGCCGGCGGTGCCTCCCGAGCAGGATGTCCTAGAGCCGCCATGCACCGAAGTCCAACAAATTTTAAATACAGATGTATCATAGATTGAGGAAGGTTTAAAGGTCTTAAAACATAGAAGTTTTCCTAGAAGGTAGCATTTTCACTCCCTTGTTTTGTGGTTGAGACCAAGGCAGGTCAGTGAGCTGCCATGCTTGCCCAGCCAGGGAGAGCCAGAGCTGAAATGCAAGTTTCCTGACTCCTGGGCCACAGTCTCTTCTTCTAGGCTGCCTCCTTTTCAAATTGAAAGAAGAATTTCTTTCCATTTCTAATTGAAAGAAGAAATTCACTTAGAAGTTTCATATATTGTTAACCCCAGAAGTCACTTTGGTGTTCATCTATCACAAAGAAAGAACCAAGTCTCAAGGAGATGAAGTAACTTGGGTAGGGTCACAGGGCTAGTCGGCATATGCCCACCCCAGGGCACAGGTCGAGTGTCTTCTCATGAACAAAGAGGGCTCTCTCTACCAAGCCACTCTGGTATCCTCCAGAGTCCTCAGAGCAGGCAGAAACATCTCTGAAGTCTCAGACTGTGGTGGCTGCTCTCAGGAGTAAAAGAGACCCTCCCCTCCCAGTGCTCTGAGAAAACACTCTTGTCTTTTGGTTTCCTAAGCCTGCTCCTTGTGTCATATTGAAAAGAAATAATCCTCGTGGTTCTACTGGGTTTGTGACTTGTGTAATAGTGTGCATGTTCAGAGTAGTTGTATTTTATTTTTCTAGTAGTAAAATAAGTCATTGCTTTCCTACTGTTTCATTTAGGTGCCTTTGTTTTTAAGGAGAACTGATGTCAGTTAGCCTGAGACAAGGGGGTTTTATTGCAGGAACTGAGACAGCTCCAGGGACCCCTCGCTCTGCATCGCTTTCTCACGGCTTCTTGTTTCTCCTTGTGCTTCTGCTCAGTTCTTTTCTCTCAGCCACCTGGCATATTCTGCTTATTCGAGGTTTCTGAACTTTAACTGTGACTTACTCGTGGATTTTGCTTGCCAGGTATGTCCCTGACTCTCCTTTGGGGCATCTCTAAGGACACAGGTAAACCCAAACCTCATTTCTCCCCCTACACTCTCGCAACACAGAACGCTTCTGTGACCAAACGTGTGGGTGTGTTTCCTCACACACCAACCAAGCAATTCTGCCTCGACACCAGCTGGGTGTCCTCTAATTCAATTCAGTTCTGACACTATCCACCTGGAGATGGACTCGGATCCTGCAGGCGGAGGGCTCAGTCCCACAAGACTGCCCTCACTTGTGATGACCGTCACAGGGCCCAGATTTTTTTTTACCTGTGCCTCTGCCCCACCAGCTATAAATCTGGGTTTCTGCAGCCCCCTCTGCAGTTGGATTAATTTGTCAGAAAGGCTTATAGAACTCTGGGAAACACTTCCTTACTGGTTAATTATGAAGGGTACCCAAGAATATAAATAAATCACCAGATGGAAGAGATGCATAGCGGATGGAAAGTGAAGGATCACTGCCCCCCTAACCGCCCGGGTGAGCCATGCTCCAGGAACCTCCACCTGTTCAGCTATCCAGAAACTCTCGAACCCAGCCCTTTTGGGTTTTATAGAAGCTTCATTCTGTAGGCATGGTTGATTAAATCATTGGCCATTAGTGATCGACTTAACCTTCAGCCTCTTTTCCTTCCACGGAGGATGGGGTTGGGGCTTAAAGTCCCAATGCTCTAATCATGCCTTGGTCTTTCCTGTGAGCAGCCCCTGCCTTGAAGCTACCTAGGGCTGCCAGTTACCAGCCATCTTATTATTATTATTTTTTGAGACACAGTCTGGCTTTGTTGCCCAGGCTAGAGTGAGTGCCATGGCGTCAGTTTAGCTCACAGCAACCTCAATCTCCTGGGCTCAAGCAATCCTGATGCCTCAGCCTCCCTAGTAACTGGGACTACAGGCATGCGCCAACATGCCCGGCTAATTTTTTGTAGATATATTAGTTGGCCAATTAATTTCTTTCTATTTTATAGTAGAGACGGGTCTCATCTTGCTCAGGCTGTTTTGAACTCCTGACCTCAAGCAATCCGCCCGCCTCAGCCTCCCAGAGTGCTAGGATTACAGGCGTGAGCCACCACGCCCAGCCCCAGCCATCTTATTAGCATCCAAAAGACACTCATCACTTTGGAGATTCCAAAGATGTTAGGAGTTGTAGGTCGGAAAATGACACAAAGACCAAATACACACTTCACAATATCACTGTGTCCTTACGGTTCTACTCTTGTAGCTGTGGGCTTATTTCTTCTGTGTTCCCTAGTTCTAGATCTTAAAAGACAGAGAATCTGATTGGCTCAACTCATCGTTTTGCACTAGGACATAGGTCATAGTTACTCTCCAGCCTGTAGGATTGGCTGTGCTTTGGTCAGGTGCCCACTCCTGCACCAATCAGATATGGCCAAAGAGGATTTCATCACATGGCAAATTATCTGGTAAATTAAGCATCTGTTGGTGGGGCAATTTCTTTAAAAGGGGCAGAGGCATCATAAACATGTCTAATACATGTGCTTTTTTTAAAAAAAAAAATTAAGTTTCAAATGTCATGGAACTGAATTTGTTCATTGGCATCTTTTGTAGATTTCTTGGGAATTATAAAAATATGTTATTCAGGAACTCTTTCAATTATCTAACAGTGAGTCATGGCAATGCCATAATTTCCCATCCGTGAACTGGTTGGCTGTCTTCCAAGTCCTTATACTGGGCTCCATTCTCTTGAGGCTGAAATTTCAGATACAACTGGCAGAGAATGAACCATGTGCCTTGGCCTCTGAGCTTTGTCTTGTTCAGCTTGAGAAGGTCTTGTGATATCTACGTTCTTGGCCCAGCCCATTCCTTCACAACAGCTTTAATGAGCAGGGGTCCTGCAATGCTGAACCTAAATCTTATGCTCACCTGCAAACCCTATTCTGTCCCATTTAATAGAAATTAGTTGATTTAGGAGCTTGGGAGGGTGTATGGGAGTTGGGTAGGCATGCAGAAAAAAGGGGTTAACCTTTACTAAGCATATTCTATAAGCCTGATGTGAGCATGCTCATTTTATAGATGAGGAAGCTGAGGTTCAGAAAAGATGAGACACCTCCACAGCAACAAGCAGTGAGCGGGTAGTAGAGCTAGAATTTAACCCAGATCTGCCCGATTCCAAATTCCACTCTCTGCATTGTACCTTGGAGTTGCTGGTGTGAGAAGGGGGTGGGGAAGACATTCCTGGTGAAGAAAATGGAGACCATCACAGGTAAAGGTGTGGAGATGGGCAAATGGAAAGTGGTGCAAGGACTATTGACTGGAGTGGCAGATTTATGTTGGGACAAAGGGAGATTAAATGTCAGAGGCAGCCAGATTCTTGCACAATATAAAGGCCAGGCTAGGGTGTGACTGACATTTTTGGAGGCCTTGGGGAGTCACTGATGGTAAGGCAAGGCATGACGTCTCCAAGGCAGCTGTTTAGATTAGAAGGATTAGTCTGGAGACAGGTGTCAGAAGAGTTGGAAAAGGAAAAGACTAGAGGTGATTAAGGCACGCATAGCTGTGGAGAGCCCCTGTAATCAGGGAATGTTTCACAGCTGGCTTCATCTTCTCAAGCAAGGACCCCTTTTCAAGTCACCTCCATCATCTCTGTGACAGTTTACAAGCTTGGAATCGCCAGTCCTCTCTGTGGAAACTGAGCTTTGCTATCCAGTATCACCTTCGATGGAGAGAAATGCTGTTACTTTCTTGTAACAAATCCAATTCAAAGCTTCCAAATGTTGCATTTTTTGGTTTTTAAAAACAGAACTACTCCAAAGGGTAGCAAGTACTGGGAAGCCGAGGCTGTGGTCTAAATTTCCCCTGAAAGTCTTAACCACTGGTGAGATTTTGTGTGTGCATCAATCATACCATTTCCATCCTCATTCTCTGTTCCTGTCACTCCAAGTGTGAGAAGAGATAGATGATTAAGACAAAGGAGAAGTTCCCAGGACTCTATTTCTCCTTTTTCTTTTCCATAGTAAAATTACCATGAAACTTAGTAGTTGGAGGCAGTTTGGCTGAAGTACTTGTGGATTTGTCTTGAGAAGAATAAAAATCAACAAATGTTATTTTCTTCCCTGCATTTTGCAGCTATGAAGGATATTTGCATAATTTGGACATGCCAATAGCATAAACGGTACTGGTACTGAAACATGTCTTTCTGTTACCAGAGATTAAGTATCAAGTTTGGAGGTGAGTTAGTTTTTGCAGTTTTGTCGGTGAGAAAACTGAAAGGGAGAGAACTTAAGCCCTAGACCCTGAAGGGGTCAGGACTCATCCAGCCTGAAACCCAGTAGATAAAAATGGCAACAGGTTCATCTGCCTTTTCCTTATGCCCCAGGCTAAATTGGAAGCCTCTCTTCTCTGACATTCTTGAAGTAATAAAACAAACTTACAACTTTGACAAAACCAGAGGAAGAAGTCCTCAGTGCAAAAGTTAAACTGGTGATCCCTCCACCCAATGAAATATTAACACAACCAAACCAAAAACCTTAATTGGCTGCCCTCGATGTGGAAAGGTTGCACTAGGAGAGAACTTGAATAATTTTTCCTTAAGAGTTTAGTGTCAGAGAAATATTGTGTTCTAACAGTAATCATCTGCACTGAAGCAGAGGTGAGTTGCTAAAATTTCAAATTCCATTTAATGACCCCAAGAGTACTACCCAGTGCTTTCTCTGCTGAGTACTGCAATCAACTCCCTGCATTCTTTTGTGCTTAAAGCACAGGGCACTACACCCATAGGCTCAATAAAACAGCCACATTTTCAGGGGACTGTGCGGATATAAAGATGTAAAAGCAAGCTCTGGCTATCACGTCTTGGGGCTTTGCTGTCAGGCATGGATAAACGCCAGGTGCTGGGTTATTCTCAGACCAATGCCCTAGAATGGTCTGAGGATTAGGATCACCATGTCCTTCTCCTGGTCCTGTCACAGCTGGATTGGGTGGATATAAGGGTTGTTAGAGTTCTAGGCAGGAATTGTGAGAAATAGTATATATCCAACAGAATTGAG